AGGACAAGTGCGGTTTGAAGGAGAGGAAGTAATGTTAGCACCCCTTGAGTCTACTGACATTTTACACATGAAAAATTTTTAAAAATTAAAAAGTAGATTACTTCATGTTATCTATTAATTATGTTTTTCTATTTCTAACATAAAATTTCAGTTTTTGAGTAATTTAATTCAAAAGACTGCGGGTTTTTTTATCGAACCAACACGATAGATCATAGATCATAAGAAGAAAATATTCTATTCAATACTATAATGTGTTCTTTGTAACCTCTTGTTGCTCTTTTGTCCCCTATGATAGCCCATCATTATTTAATTTTTCCAATTGATAACAGCAAGAAAGAGCCAAAAGACAATTCAGTTCATTGTGTGTAGTCACTATATAAAAATAAATTAAATAGGAAAAAACAAAAGAAGCAGATTCACAATATGAAATACATGCACCATAGTCAATGAAGTTGTTGATAATATGAAGTCTCAGGTTCAACATTAAGTGAAGTCAAAAAATATTAGGTGATTCTTTTTATTCGTTCTAGTCTTGATAGACAGAGTTACTTATTACATGTTGTTGATGGGAATGACAAATATCCTATGAAATTAGTCGAGATGTGCGAAAGCTGACTTAGAAACCACAATCATAAATAAATAAATCATAAGAAGGCACGCTTAGCTGTAGCTGTAACTGAGACTTTGAACAAACTTTAAATTTTGTGTTTGTTGCTTTGTTAAGATTATTAACCACACAGATAAATCATAATTTTTTATTTATCACCCCATAACTATGTTGTTTTTACCCTCTTAAATTCCATTCACCAAAGCACGCAATAACTTGCAAATCACACAAAAAAGTAAATCGTACTAGACAAACTAGCTCCGTCTGATATGACGAGCTCGACCCAAACAGCCTACTCCCTATTATCACAAGTGAGGGCTTCCAAATTTGACACCTCCATTATGAAAGTCCCGAGCCAAAGGGTTATAGTGTACTCTCTATGTCTTTTTCCTGACATATGATTCGTTTTCACTTGATGTTTAACATCTGTATCTTTTCCTCATAACGTGTTTCAAAAACATTCATATTCAAGGCTAGAATTTGAAAACGCTCAACTATTTATTTGAGTTGACACTTAATTAATTGTACACAAACGACAAGCAGTTATTTATGAGTTTGAAAAAAATCAAATGGTCCAACACACTATTTATTTCACAATTGCAAGTACGTTGGCCAAGACATTTTATACAATGATCATTTACATAATGGACTGTATATATAACAGACATCACATGCATAATCAATAATGATAGAAAAAAACATCAATCATGCAAACAAATAAAAGAACTCTGATTATTGAAATATATTCAGTATGTACACTTAGGATTAATAAAATCGATAATTCATCTTTAAAATTATTTTATCGCTATAACAACAAAATCTCTCATTATAATTTTTCCTTTTTTTTCTGGAAAGAAATGTCGTCTTCAAGTTCCTAATAGGGTTGTGGTTCATTAATTCATAATTTATAAGTAGCTCAAATATTTTTTTATTTTTTGGTTCAATTTTATAATTAAAAACAATATACGAATAAAGGAGGGCGAAGTGTTGTAAGCTATTATTAAGGAATTCCTACTATAACAACTCAGTTCACTAGTGATATTATTGGTTTTTGAGCCTTGGCTTACATGACTTTAAAATGAGTCGTAAGAGTTAAGGTATCTCCCCTTTTTTGTTGATGTGAAATTTGTCTAGATGTCACGGAGATTTGTATATATGGTGAGATGGAATGGAGGTGAGGCATATATGGTGATGGAAAAGACGCAATCAATGATGATCACATGCATGTACAGGTCTATTAATGTGTTTGAGTTGAACCAACCATTTAAGTAAAGAAATAAATACCACTAGTATTTTTCACTCTTAGCGTTGAGTAATGTTAGCACCCCTTAAGTCTACTGACAGTTTACACATGAAAAATTAAAAAAAAATAAAAGTAGATTACTTTAGGTTATCTATTAATTGTGTTTTCCTATAGCAATCAGAGGCGAATCTAGAATTTCAAGAGGACGGGTGCATCATTGTCAGGTGTGGCTCTGTCCCTTAAAGAAAAAAGGCAACTAATTTAGGCTTTCAAATTTGAGGGGCCTTATTTATTTTAGCAATAATAAATATAAGTTTTTCATAAGAAAAAAAAATATTAAATACATTTGCAAAATAAATAAATTTTATTATAAGAAAAGTCATTAGAAGAAGTTTAAAAAAGGCTGAATGCAGAAACACTTTTGTGAATAAAATAAAATGCAAGGTTGTGAAAATGCAGAATCTGGGAATCGATCCATCAACCTCAAAGTGGAAAATTGACACTTAAACCAGTGAACCATCTAATTGTTTGTGTTCATAAGTTCCTTCAGTTGCTATTTGATATATTTTAAAAATTATACAGGTAATACATCGAGTTTTGCCGGACGATCATGGGTTCAGGTGACTCATTTTTTAAGCTTAAATTCTCCCCTGATTTCAATGGTAATTAGTTGTAAGGAGCTAGGTTGATTATTCAAAGAAGCGATAAAACATAAAATTTCAGTTTTTTGAGTACTTTAACTCAAGATACTGGTTTTTTTTTTTTCGCGAACCAACACCATAGATAATAAGAAGAAAATATTCTATTCAATACTATAATGTGTTCTTTGTGACCTCTTGTTGCTGCTTTTGTCCCCTTATGTTAGCTCATCATTATCTAACTTTTCCAATTGATAACAGCAAGAAAGAGCCAAAGACAGTTCAGTTCATTGTGTGTAGTCACTATATAAAAATAAATTAAATAGGAAAAAACAAAAGAAGCAGATTCATAAAATCATATGAAGTGCATCCACAGTAGATAATGAAGTAGATAATGAAGTAGTTGAGAATCTGAGGTCTCCGATTCAAACTCCTTGATAGACAGAGTTACCTGTAAGTATCTGTTACTGATGGGAGATGGCAAGTATCCTGTGAGATTAATCGAGATGCGCAAAATTGGCTTGAACAATTAGGGTCATAAATAAATTTAAAAAATCATATGAAGGCACGCTAGCTGTAGCTATCTAACTGAGACTTTGAACTGCACAAACTTTAAATTTTGTGTTTGTTGGTTTGTAAAGATTATTAACCACACAGATTAATCATAATTCTTGATTTATCACCCCATAACTATGTTGTTTTTACCCTCTTAATTACGTCCACCAAAGCACGCAATAGCTTGCAAATCACACCAAAAAAAAAAGGTAAATCGTACTAGACAAATTGATGAGCTCAATCCAAACGGCCTACTCCCTACTATCACAAGTGAGGGCTTTCAAATTTGCAATCTCTATTATGAAAGTCCCGAGCCAAAGGGTTATAGTATACTCTCCATATGTCTTTTTCCTGACATATTTTTCTATTCCACTTGATGTTTAACATCTGTATCTTTTCCTCATTGGGGAAACGTGTTTCAAAAACATCATATTCAAGGCTTGAATTTAAAAACGATGCGACTATTTATTTGAGTTGACAGTTAATTAATTGTACACAAACGACAAGCAGTTTGAAAAATACGTATCAAATGGTCCAACACACTATTTATTTCACAGTTGCAAGTACGTTGGCCAAGACATTTTATACAGTGATCATTTATCATAATGGACCGTATATATAACAGACATCACATGAGTAATCAATAATGATAAAAAAAAAAAAAACATCAATCATGCAAACAAATAAAAGAACTCTGATTATTGAAATATATTTAGTATGTACACTCGGATTAATAGAATCGATAATTCATCTTTAAAATTATTTTCTCTCTCTATAAATATATTTGCCGTATCAAGCAAGCATTTTATAGCATTAAACAAGCATCTGATCTATAGATAAATGGTTATAGGTGTCCGTTATAGGAGTTTCTAATGACCTTCGAAGTGATCCGTTAAATTTTCGAGCTTAAAATAGTCTAAATAACAACAAAATCTCTCATTATAATTTTTTCCTTTTTTTTTCTGGAAAGAAATGTCGTCTTCAAGTTCCTAATAGAGTTGGTTCATTAATTCATAATTTATAAGTAACTCAAATATTTTATATTTTTTGGTTCAATTTTATAATTAAAAAAAATATACGAATAAAGGAGGGCGAAGTGCACCAAAAAATGTAGCCAAGTGATTAGTAAATTAAATTGAAGTGTGAGAACTGAGAACCATTAATTTCGGGAGACACTAAAGAATAGTTGGTAGTTCGCTTTGTAAAAGATATGACACCCGAGCCTAACTCAATCCCAAAAGCTAGTTTATGAGGCGAGATTTGTCCAAGTCCATATAAATAGACCAAATTCCCATTTCTCTACCGATGTGAAATATCTTAACACTCTCCTGCCACCTAGACCTCAACTGGAGTGTGATGAGACGGATTTGACTCTGATATCATCAAAGGAGACCAAATTTTCAAAAGTCTCATTATATGGACTAGGACAAACCTCTCAACATCCATTTTTACACATATATTAGTTATTCAATATATATTTACTATAATCAATAATAATAATTAAAAAAACTAAGTAATAAATTATTTTTCTAAAACTTTTAAAATAAAAATATGGGCGGGCGGGTTGATGCACAGGGGCAGAGAAAGATGCCAAAACTGATGCATGGCCCTATTATACTGCTCGACGCAGAAATGCCACACTTCTCAAAGCAACAGAAACACGTGCTTTCGCACTGAATCAAACCCAACACCATCATTATACAAAAAGAAATAAATTATTCTACTTTTTCTAGAAGTTATTCAATCACACAATTCATCCCATAGATTTCAGTTAAACCAAAAGTTATTGTAGTCGTGATAAATATTTTTTCATTCTTAATTAGAAAATATGACATTTTCTGCATGAATTCTTGAACGCTAATATGAATATTGAACCAAAAAAACATACAAAGGAACTTTTCAACGATTCATTATAAAATACTAATTGAAAAATGAATTCAACATGGATCAGAGTTGGCTAAACAAAGAAGCAAGAACATGTAAACAAGATTAGTTAATTAATTCCATGCATATTTACATAATCTTCTAAGATTTATAGAAACCAGAAAAATAATTGCGGATTTGATTACCATTTACTTCATTCTTTGATTCGATCGATTACGTTCTGTTTGGCCTGTTGCAGTGTTGCTGCTACTATGGTGTTTCTTGTTCAAAGCACCAGATGAAAACAGGGGAAACCCAAAAACCCCAGATTTTGAAGAACCTCGAAGAGAGCTGCAAACGGGAACATTCAGAACTGTAGTAACACGAACGTTAGCTGAATAGGACCTTTCCACCCCACCTCCATGTTTGTATCTGGGTCCACCATTGAAGCTGCTTGGACTACTTGAGCTTCTTCCTAAGTTGTGGAAAACTATCTTCCCTGAAGAATTCATGCGAGGACTATCATCAACAGAGAGTCCCCGTAGAGTACTGGTAGTTGTACAATCAGTTGGTTGTCTGTTTATTGGGCTTCCAGCTAAACGAGTGGGGATTGGATTTTCCGATGATAAAGCTCTATGTTTCACTAATCGAATTCTAGGGGGATTAGGGTTACTGTTTTGATTGTTGTGGCTGGTTTGAGTACATGGTTTATCAAAATCAAGAGAAAGTCTAGGAAGATCATCGTGTTCATGGCCGGAAGAAGAAGACGATGAAAGAGATAACCGGGAACTAGAAATTGATATGGACTCGTTATCAGAGTCCTTACTGAGCAACGGAAGGTGAAGAGACGAATCATCAGTGGACGATTTCGAGCTGCGACTGAGGAAATTCTTCAGAGATTTATGAGCATTGGAGCAATTTTTTGGAGCTTCGTGCTTGTCATTTTGCAATTTCTTCAACCCTAGAATCTCCCTCCATCGACTAGAACACCTTGGAGCTTTCGGAGAGAACAGATACGGGTCCTTACGAGAAATCTCATTATTTCTCATACGAAGTTTCGGCGTCTCCGGCGACCTTACACCGGCAGACGTAGATACAGCCGCCGGACGAACCGTCGGGAGTTGCAGAGGCATCAATTTTCCATCAGAAAAAAGCTCATCCGCCGGTAACATATTAACCGGATCTTCAAGTCGAAACTCGAAATCCACCATTTCATTGACGGGAACTTCCGGATCTAATATTACTTCTGGGTTATCCACAGCTGTTGAGATTCTAGGACTCAACCAACCGTATGACTTGTACTTGGTCGGAGAACAATCGAGAAAATTCTCCGGCGACACACCGACGTTGTTTATACAAGCTGAAGCCATGGATTTAATTGGTGAAAAAAAAAATACCCAAAAACAAACTTGTAGTAAAATCAAATTCTGCAGTTGAAATAAGAAAGGTGAGGTACCATTTGTATAGAATCCCGAGCAGCTTCAAATCTATGGAGTTTCAGAGAGAAAGCTAAGCTAGCCTAGGGTTTAGAGAGGGGGTTGTGAATATTGTGGAGTTTAGTTGAAGCTAAGCATAGCATAGTAGTGTAGTGTTGTGTAGTGGTGATGGTGATACTAGTAGACTAGTAATGCTACCAGGTTCAAGTTCGTTGCATAAATCATTTCGTATTTACATAAATTTTAAAGAATTATAATTCGTTCATCTGTATGATATTGATTTGGATGAATTTAAACTTAACAGAGATTATAGTGTTAAAAGATGATAGCCGCAATTCGCTCATAAATGAGCAAACTGTCCGTTTTGATATGTGTTTTTTGAGAGGGTTCTTTTTGGTGTTTAGGGTTTAAAAAGTGTCCGTTTTGATGTCGGACTCCAAATCAAGACAAAAGATATGAATTTTATTTTATAACCAGTTCATCAATTGAAAAATGTTTGTTGGTTAAGCGAACACGCAATGCAATGACTTTTTTACCATGGGCTTGCTTTTTAAAGTTTCACATGACCCTTTATTCATGTTTATTTTAGTTTATATATATATCATAGAAATTTTTATTTATGAAAAAGTTTTTTTAAAAATAAATAAATAAGTAACGTGATAGTCTAATTCTATATAATTATGTGATTCATCGAAAGGTGTAGTTCTAACAAATCGAATCAGGAAAGAAAAATAACTTATCAAGACTACATGTGCTTTGCAAATAGTTCATCAAAAAGAAAAATCCAAAGAAAAGTAATTTGACAATAAACAGTATTAGTTAGTGTTTGACAAATAGCCCAATAATATGTAGGATCTTAAAATTCAAATAAGAAAAAAAGTGTTTGATTTTTTTTCATACATACCGTATAAGTGATGTATATATGTATGTTTCGATTAGTATAATTAAGAAAGATTCAATTAATTTGAATCATTTATATCACAATATTAATAATATTTGGATATTATCAATTACATACCAAAATATGTATAGATTACATTAATTTTATAGTGGGGGGTCTAGTTTAATGTTTTGATCAAATGGAGAGTTGAAAAATATTAACTAGCACGTAATGACTTTTCTATTAATTATATTAAATAAATTAATAAGGACTTAGTTTTTCAATGTTTTGCCAACTTATACAAGGTATAGAGTATGGCCACATGTAATGCATGATTTTATCTCTACTCATGATGTAAACCATTGGATTATAATTCACAATAGACACTATCTTCATGTTTAATTGTATAATTTGTATCGTTGAGGTTTTTCAATACAATAAAGTCTTCAAAAAAGAAGATCAAAATATAAAAATATGATAATCTTATTTTACATAATTACGTAATTCATCGAAAGTCGTGACCTAACAAATTGAATTGGAAGAAGAAAATTCAAAGCTATCTGCGTTTCACATGTAATTTATTTTTAAAAAGGAAGATAGTTGGCAAATAGAATCCAAATAAAAAAAAGTGTAAGCAAGTTAAATCTCAACAAAGAGAAAAATAAGTGAAATCGCATTCTTAAAAATTTGACAAGAAAAAAATGTTAGAATTCTTTTGCATACCCCCATACAAGTAATGCATATAAGTTTCAAGTAATATGATTAAGAAAGATTCAATTGATTTGAATAGTGTCACAAGATAATAGTAAGTGGATATGATCAATCACATATCAAAATATGAATAAATTACATTAATTATATAATGAAAGTCTAGCTTAGCGGTTTAAGTAAATAGTTGAAAAACGTTAGCATGTAATGATTTTCCTATTAAAGGCTAGTTTTTCAAGGCTTCACTAACTTATAGTACAAGATATAGAGTATAGACACAATAATGTGTACGTTTTACCTCAACTTATGATATAAAGTGTTGTATTAAAGAAATGTTATCCTCGCATTTAATTTTATCGTTGAAGTTTTTTTATATAGTAAAGTCTTCGAAAAAGAAAATTAAAATAAAGAACGACAATTAATAATAAACAGATAGAATCAAACGCAAGAAAATATAAGCAGGTCAGACCTTGATAAAAAATAAAAAATAAATAAGATCACATTCTTAAAAATTGAGACAAAAAAATGTTGCTTTTTTTTTTTTTGCATGCACCCATACAAGTAATAATATGATTAAGAAAGATTCTAAAATGTTAAGTCATTCATGATACAATAATTTTATTAATAGTATATGTGGATATGATCAATCACATATCAAAATCAAACTATGGGATAAATTACATTGATAATATAGTGGGGTTCTAGGTTAGTATGTTTGAGCAACTGGGAGTTGAAATGTGGATATTTAGTCCAAAAAAATGGATGTGACTTTATTTTTATTATTTTAGGATAGAATAAGGGATAATCCAAAAACAAAACTACAAAGAACAGATAAATAGCATAATTACAGGAGGATGGTTCTTGGAAATATCTGAATATGAATAAAATATAAAAGGACATGTGCTGCCATTAGTTATTTATTTATTTGATTATAACAAGTTTAAATCAACGTGCTATGGAATAATTTTACTCTCTATCCAAGATTTCTCCAAATTTCGAGGTAAATCTTGCATCTTATCTCATGTCATAAGAAAAATATATTTATGACAAGAAAATAAATAATTATTTTAATATTTGACTACTTTAATATATATTTTTATATTTGAAATAAAATTAATCTATTCTCAATAATTAACGTATTTAAAATCATAAATTTTAAAAAATTAAAATTTGTATTTATGACTGATTAAATATTGTCATATTAGAATAGAGAAAGTATTTATAAATATTTAACTATTTTAACAAATTAAATAATTATTTTTACTTGAAAGAATTCAAGACTTTTAAAGTAAAAAGATTTATGTACAAACTTTGCCACTTTTATAACTTTATTTTTAAACTTGAGAGCATCATTTGGATAACGACTTATAAAGTGTTGGAAAAGACCACTTTTCACTTGTACTTTGTCTTTTTTGTGCTTTGTTTTCTTAAGGCCATATGACAAATAGTGACCAAATACAAATAATTGAACATGTATTAATATTTTTTTTTGGTTTTCATTCAGTGATCGGAATCCATATTATCGTCCCGATAAAATTTAAATCACATACTACAAGGTCCATTCGAGAGTGACATTTCCAACATGATTTTTTTCCATACCCAGGACTCGAATCCGAGATCTCTAGTTAAGGGTGAAATAGTTTCACCAGTCACCACTTTACCACAACTCATGTTGATATGTTACTAATATTGATATTGCCAAGTTATACCGTCAGGCATCTTTATAACATGAGAGAAAATTGAGATGTCAAAATTCTTGTGAAAGTGAAACGAGATAAATTAAAAGATGAAGTGGAGATTTTTTTTTGTATTCCACTACTTTTTTGATAATTTTTATTTATAATAATCAAATAATATATAAATATTAGATTATATTATAGATACATACGAGTAATAATTAATTTATATAACAAATAAAAACATTGTAGAGAAATTTAATTATATTAGTTGGATATAGATATTAGTTGGTCCTAGCCTATCCACCTAACCTAACAATTTATGATTTCATAAGAAGTTTTTTTTCTACTTTCTCAACTTAAATGTTTTAAGAAAAAGAGTAGTGATTGAGGTTTTTCAATAGACTTATCAATTTTCAAAAGTAAAAAAAACAAAACATCACAACTATAAAAATTGAAAAGTCAGTGTTCAATTTAATTCAGTTGAATAATTATTGAGGAAAGTCTTACTAATCATTTAATTTGATTATGAATAGTGATTCATAACCCCCACCCCTACTTTTAGTAGAATAGAGAGAATAGGAGGGACAAAGTTAAGAAATAATCACCCAATAAAATACTGTGAGAAAAAGTTAATAAATAATCACTTTTAACCTATGTTATTAAATATTAGAGAATTTTACGCAAATCTCATAGTAATAAGAGTTAATTATATCTTATTTCTACGCTCTTTTTCAAATTATAAAAATCTCTTAAATTTGGTGGTATTCAGATACATCCCAAAACATCCCGGTACATGGCGTCACAATTTCAGATACATTCCTCAATGTCTCGATACATGGCGTCTTGATTTCGGATACATCACTCAACTTCCTGATATATCACATATGTTTCGATACATCGCGTAAAGTGATGTATTCGAAAATAAGAGCGAGTAAAGACTTTTGTAATTTTTTCAAATGGTGGAAAGTTTTAGAAAAGATGGTAAGATAAGTTGTGAATTTAGGTATTTTTTCTAAATATTAGTCATTACTCTTTAAAACTACTACTAACATTTAATCAGTTGTAAAAGAAAATATTTTTAGACACAAATATTTAATTAAAACACAGAATAACTCTAGCAAATATTGTTAGAATTCAAAGGATTGACAAGTGAACTTAAAAAATGATTTATCAAGTTCAAAGTAAAAAAATGGTTAATGATGCTAAAAATTTGCTAGAATTTCAAATCTCATGAACGGAATATGAGACTTAAATTTTCATGAGATCAAATTAAAGAACGATTGATATCACTCGATATGATAAAACTTTTTTAGGAGGCACTTGTCCATGAAATTTTCTACTTTTTTTTGGAATTGAACTCTAGCCAATTTTATTACTATTTCTTTTTCCCGAAATTTCACAGTAAAACATGATCAAGACGCCCACTTAAGAAAAACTAGTGTGGCTATTAATGCTAATCTAAACAAGGTATTATATTGGGCCTTCTTTTGCTGTTGGTGAAAAAAGGCTACTCCTTTAAAGCCCAATTTAATTGGAAATTATTGGAACATAAACCAAAAATAATTTTAGAATGTGTGGCTGCTGGGATTCGAGCCCAGGTCTCCACGGCCACAACGTGGAATTCTCAGCAGCCACTTGATGTTGCAAAAAAAAGATTTATTTTATAGTTTTATTATTTCAAATAAGCATTTTTACATTTTGGAAACTATATTGTACTCTCTATTTTACCTTGCACATAGCTATTTATGGTATATTTATATATGAAAATGGGATTTACAAGTCCCACTAAATACATTTGACAACCTTGCACTTTTTTGAATCGTCGTTACACGTTATTTTATAATACATCGTATTGTGTTGTACTATTATTTTAAAG